AAGTAAATCCACAGATAATAAAATCTGAAAATGCTGGTTTTAAAAATCTCTAACTTCCTAATTGTGTAAAACCTATTTATTTAAAGAAAATCTTTTGACTTGACCAGAGTCGTTAAGTAGGAATACCATATTAATAGAACAGAAGATTCTTGAACTTTTCCACTTAGATTAATTTTAGGTCAATCATATACGATCTATAACGCAGACGCAGTTTTATGATGATGAGAAAAAAATGTTATCTATCTCCCTTCCCCATTACAAAGCTATGCAAATCTGGTAAAACAATTATGTTAACATTTCACTTCAGTATTAATAGAACAACATTTATTTCTAAGAGACAGTATTGAGTTTCGACTCCTAGTCTTTCTCTAGTTTTAATACTGCACGAATGGCGTAGTGGTTTAGGCAGTCGCCACGCTGAGTGTTGTGGATTCGATCCCCACATGGGACGACACTTTGTGTATTCCACAAATTGTTGTTCCGAGTCTGAGTGTTCTTTGTGTCCATTTCATGTATGTTTGTAGTCCCCAGCGTAGTAAGTAGTGTAGTAAGTCCCCAGCGACACAGGCATTTTTCCTAATGCGGGAGTTGTCTTATTTAAAAAGAAACGAAAAGAATAACCATTGAAAATAATTGGCTTTTTTACGATCTCAAAAGGCGGTTATTTACGGCGGTACTTATTTTATGTCCTCATAAATAATAGGTATCGCTGTAACATTTCAAGCAGCTTTAAAACTGTCAATTCTTGACGGTTTTAGTTCTTAAATAAAAATTAAATGAATCCCGTATTGGATTTCAATATAAAAGTTAGAGTTAGAGTTAGAGTTTACTTTAATTGATTTTTTTTTAGTTCGGGTACAGTTACACAATTTTCTTAGATAACTGTCTAACCGCCATATTGTTTTGTAACTTACATGAATTTTTACTAAGAAGCTTACGGTTGGAACTTGGAACAATTCAAAATTTTTATACAAACACATAATTTGTAATTCACAAAATACTTGTATATTTTCGTTTTATTGTATTTTTCAAAAATATGTAGTTATAATATTATAAGACATCGCCAAATCTATTTACCTGTTTGTTGGCGATATACTACGCGCTCGTTTATATATTTTATAACTATATGTACACACAACTCAGCTGGTCAAATATAGTGTATTTACATTTACATATAATATAAACTAAACTGTCTCAAAAAGCCATAACACACGGGAATCAAATTTATGTCGTACCTATATGCGTAGGTAACATTTAAAAATATAAATATAAACTAATGTTTTATAAAGAAGATAACAATTAACAAAAATCGGTAGTGACTGACAGTCCACTGCTAGACTTAGGCCTCTCCTTAGATAGGAGATCTTGACCTACTATACCACGCTGGCCAGACGTGTTAGTATAGGGCTTGTGTCAAGTTTTCCTTCTGTTTGAAGTGCTGTTGTCCTGCGTAATTTGGCGGCTCTTACGACACCCACGGGATAAATAGGGGTGTTGACACTCCGTATTCTCAATCCATCACCGTGTATACGTATTAGAGAGATATAAATATTACGCACCTACATATTATTATGATCTAACATCAGTAAAATAATCTCAAGATTATATGATTGTAGTATCAACAAGATAACAAAATATTTTATCGAAAACTCAATCGGGGAAGCCCTTGAAATTTTCATTTAACACGGGGATGACCCGAAATCTATACAAATAAATAAAATTAAAGTCTGTTTTTAAATTCAAAATATTAAGTGTTTTTAATGCCCACATGTTTAGTTGCCAGTTGCCTAAAAATCGGTTTAAATATATTTTTTCTGTCTGTTTGTTCCGGGTAATCTTCGAAGCGGCTAGACCGATTTTGATAACATTTTACTACCAGGTAGCTGTCTATATAAGGAGTAACTTAGGCTATTTTTTCTTTCAGAAAAACCCTGTAAATTTTTCCCGGTCCGGGAATCGAACCCACTAAGGCAGTGCTTTTCAAATCGAACGCGAACGAAGTAGCGGGCACCAGCTAGTTTGTTTTCTCTATTTTGTTTTGTGTCTATCATTTGATGGTATTTGATGGTAAGTGACTACCGCTGTCCATGGCAGACATTCAACTTAAGAGTTACAAGTGCGTTGTGTTTTAGTTCTTTCCTCTTTTTTCTCCACCGGTGGGATGGTTATGTCGGATTCAAACCGACCAAAAACCGCACGCCGTCTCGGGTACCAGTTGCCGGGTAACCAGGTGTACCATAGAAAGCAAATCCCTGGTATCCCGACGTACCTCGGGCCATCTACGGTGTATAGATGACCCTCTTGTGTGTTGGAACCCCTATGTCCTCTTTGTGACAGGGTGACAGATGGCCTCACCTAATACCCCCAGGCCTGCGCTTATGGAGGACGGAGATCGTTCTGCGACCTTCGGCGAATGAGTCGGTGGTACCTGTCCCGTTCCTGGGCAAGCCCAGTTGCAAACAAGTTGTCTCTCCCCTGGATTCAGGAGGTGGGGGTTTGGGTTCCGGTAACCCAACTCAATCGGTCAAAAGTAACGAACAAACGAACTTCAAAAGTAACTTAACATCGGTTTTCTGTGGGGCTAAATTATTTAACAATTAATTCTTTTTTTTTAAAGGTTTATAAGCAACCGAAATTACTATTATTCCCGTTAACCCCTCCAGCTAAGCTAAATTGCTTGTTTACATCTTTATATTGCATCTTTAGTATTCAAAGCAGTTTGTTGGGAACTATTTTAAAGCTTTAAAACTATCGATCGAACAAACAAATCGATTTAGGAAGACATCAATTACGCATTTTATTTGTCTAGACCGTGTACGTGTTATTTATTCCAACCATTAGATTTGATAAAAGGATTATTGATTTGCTAAATTAATGTATATATCTAGTTCTAATAGTATTACGGCATTTGATTGTGAACTCCTTTTAACATACTTTTTTAAGGTTAAAGGAGTCCAATAAAAGACCCTTATAGCCATGTCTGTCGCTGCGTCCGCGTCCGCCGTTTATGAGTACTAGAAAGCAGAAAAATCTCACTGATTTAGGGGAAAGTTTTATGTATGGGAGTGATTTTATTACTCGAATGTCCGTTCGGCATCGTTAGACAGGGCTTTCAAAAACATTGCTTGAAGCAAGCAAGCTTCACTAGGTGAAAAGTAACTCCAAAACTCAATATTCTCAAAAAATTGGCGTTACAAATATGGCGAATACTGTCCCACAATAAATATCACTCACTCTAGTATTGAAATGATAATAAAATATAAATCAATATTGAATACCCAGTTTCCTATATTTTTACAACTCGTTAAACACATTTGTTCCCAATGCCTTGTCAATTGAAACCATTTACACACACTCAAGGTAAATTTATCGCCGCCGACCGTCAGTGAGTGTAGCGGTCGCTGTAGGCGCCAGGTGACAACAGACGCCAAACAAAAAATAAATTAGGTTACAGAAAGTAAAATTTGCAGCCGTGTGTGAGATGTTTTAAGTTATATCCTTACTGAATATTATAAATTCGAAAGTGTGTCTGTCTGTTACCTCTTCACGCGTAAACCGCTGAACCGATTTAGATGAAAAAAAAAAATGATTTGTGTATAGAGATAGTCCGGGAAAGTACATAGGGTAGTTTTTATCCCAGAAATTATTCTTTAATGCGGTAAAATGTAGGGTGAAAGTTTGTATGGGAAATCTATAACCGCTAAATCGATTTGAAGGAAATTTGGTATGGAGACACTTTGATTATCGAGGAAAGACATGGGTTAATTTTACCGCGATAACGGACATTAACATGGGCAGAGTGTAAGGCAAAAGCTAGTGAAAAATAAATATTTGATTGCAATGGGAATCAAAGTCGCTTCAAATAATGTGGCAGTAGAACGTTCCTGTCGTGCGACAATCGGTCGCAACTATATGCTGAGCACGAGCTTCCTCATTAAACACAATACTTGAGATCTAGACAAGAGCTCTCAAAGTTTTCAGCGGGCCCTTGCAGTTTGCCAAGTTTTAGTCGGATGAATGCTAAAATTCTTGAGACTTTCTTCCAATAGACACGTTCTGACCCACATAATTCTTTGTGTTTTAAATGTCTTCATTTGTTTAAAGGGCTTTTATCGGAACGAAGTTACTTGACGAGCGTTATATGCTCTTAGCGGCTGGGAGCAAGACCAAAAAATGTGTCACAAGACTTTTTTCCGACACTTCAGTCCAGTAATGATAATCGTTCGTAAGATAACTATTGAATAATTAAATATTCTTTTTGCTACCTTTCTTAATTTCTTTCTTTGTATTTATTTGATTCGTAGATTCTTACTTTGGGTGTATTGTTGGGTATTGTTTTGGGAGATTAACAAAGTGACTTTCAAGATGTTTATAAAATACAAATTCTGCTTGGTTTAGAATTAGGTTGGCAAAAGCTGGGTATTTCAGTATTATTTAGTAATAATTTGTTTTCATTGCAAGTATAACTCTATAGCGGTTAGGGATATATGATTAGACTGGTGACCATTTTTGTCAGAGAAAAGTAGACATTATTCCAAGGGATTACTTTTATTTATTACATTATTTTTGAATAAATTTAATAAATATACATTACTCTAACCTACGGACACTAGCTCTATAAGCTCTCGGTACTTCGAAAACTAGGAGACTAAGGTTTTACAAAATGTAGAGGTCATGATGGAGGATTGATATAAAATCAATCGCCATATCCAATTCGAGTAGAAATTTGACGTCCTCTGCCGTCTATAAAAACTCTTGGAAAGTGCAAAATGACAAATTTAAGGACTATTCAATACACTTTTAGCTGTTACAGTAGATAGCTAAAAAACAATAGTAACAATAGTACATTTTGAGTTATATTGTTAACAAATTTTTTTAAGGCTTCACGTTAATTTAAATTCAACGCACGCTACACATACATAAACGGTTATTATTGTTGTCGAAAACAAAACGGCGTCTGAATATATTAAAATAAATAGAAGACTTATGTAAATACTTACGTGTAAGCCATGACACCTTACGACTAACACAGTTTATGAAACAAAAAGTATGTATATCGAAATGGTCCTCGAAACACAATATTTAATTTAAAAAAAAAAACTTCAGCTGCCCATTTCAAAACTTTGCAAGCACAGATACAAAAACTTTATTCTTAAAAAAAATAAGAACACTTAAAATTTGAATTCGCGCGGGAACAAAAGTCTGTGGCGTTCGCTCTGTGTCGGTGTCGCGAATACACTGTCACAGACTAAACCACTAAGAGAACTGAGCTTGGCGCCAAGCAACACCTGATTTTAAATACTGTTGCTGTATTAGGTATATTACGTTTGTTTTATCTGTATCGTCGAGATGTTTGTATTGTTGCTTCAGCTGTATTATAAGGGATAGTTATTATCCAATTATTTGGGCGCGAAGTGGCGACATTAATGTTTCTTAGGACACTTATTTTAACTATTCTTTTTTTAAAAACAGAATTATGATATCATATTTTCATTGATAAAAAACACTTCCTGTAACTCAAGAGTATAGAATTTTTATTTTCTTTTTGAATATAACTTACTATACTTACTTATTAACACTATGCTCACAAATAAAACAAAAAGTGACAGAGTAGAGATTTATATAATTGATAACGGAGTAATTTCAGTAGCCATCTGTGTTCTTCATCATACGTTCAACTTTAAACAATAGCTATTTTATTATCACATCACATCAACAGTCTTTAATAGTCCACTGCTGGACATAGGCCTCTTCTTAGGAAGGAGATTTTGGCCTACTATACCACGCTGGCCAGACGGTTTGGTATAAGTTTTCCTTCTCTTTGTAGTGCTGTTGTTCTGCGTAGTTTGCTCCCTCAGTCGGCTTTTACGACACCCTTGGTATGAATAGGGGTGGTGAATCTCTGTATTCTTAATCCGCCACCACACGGACAATTTTATAGAGTAAGGATATAGGTTATAAAACAACATGCTACGACGAATAGGAGTCGAGGATCAATGAAAAATGTTCCAAAGTCAAATTTATTCCTTTTGACATAAGCAGAGGAAGTTTCGCGGGTTAGCTAGTTTAAAATAAAACCGAGGAGTGAATGTTTACGTCTAACATCCGCCTAACTCAAGTTACATTTGAAACTGGAGAAATACTCAAATAAATGAGCTCGTTCCAGCGATTGTTCTTATTACACCAGATATATCGAATGTAATAATAAACGGAACTCTTATTAAAATCGCTAAAGGGACGTAAGGCATGCATGTACAAAAGAAAACTATTGATTTAAAAGTTATGACCGTTTCAATTTTCAGATATTGCTGTCTGAATGTCAGTCTGTCATATTACTTAGCGTTGTCATAGTAACAGTAGAAGACATCAAGAGCATTTTACTGAGAACGAAGACAATTGCTTTAGCCTTTGCTCTCAGACGTTTTATCAGTAACTTAAGAAGACGAGAGACCCGACGTGTGAAGTATTCATCAAATACATATGTACACATGCAAAATGTATTAATCTTGAGAATACAAGACTGGCACTCTGTTTTAATGGACTTTAATAAAAAGAACTATATTCTAAAAAAAACAAAAGTATCAATATGTCAATTTCAGTCATTAACATGAGTTCAAAATCGCATTATTTTTACGACGAGATACAAATCTCTATGGTTTTACTTTAAATATTGATATTTTTTATTGTTTTTTTTTAAAGTGCAACTACAACAAAGTGGCCAAGTCTTTTATTCTTATTTATTAATTAACATTGTGATTTCTTATTAAATCTTCGCAACCCTCTACATGTCAAAAAATATTCTTAGGGAAAGAAATACCTAGCTAATTAGTAACTTACGAGTATATAGGTAGATTTCACATAAACAGCCTTTAATAGTCCACTGCTGGACATAGGCCTCTCCTTAGATTGGAGGTTTTGGCCTACTATACCACGCTGGCCAAACGGGTTGCTATAAGGGATGTGTCACAACTTCCTTCTTTTTGCACTGCTGTTGTCCTGCGTAGTTGGCTCAATTAGTCGGCTGTTACGACACCCACGGGATGAATAGGGGTTGTGACACTCCGTATTCTTAGTCCGTAACCTAAGTCTTAGATATGTAATTTAAAAGCATAGTTCTTCCTCAATAATAATGTAGTATTTATCTTAATAGATAAAATTTATGTAACTAGCATTAATTTATTTTCCGTTTGGCCACTACTAGATTCCGACATGATGACCTTGGCCCGTAATTCTTAATTATATTTGGCCTGAATTCTTCTTCTACTATGAGGAAAACAATAATATTATGAATACACATGCAGTTTTATTTTTAAATATAATATTTTATCTGAATACCAAAAAAGGTCGTAAATGATGATGTAATTTTTTCTGAAAAAGTAAAGTAAACATGTTTCAATTATTTTAAGTCAGTTTAGAATTTATATTTTCTGTTGTTTGCTGTCTGAATTAGTTAGTAAAAAAGTGATCTTTAATATCTCTACAAACTTATCGAGTTGAACTCCACTTCTTGTAAAATCTTTACAATAAACTATTAATTCTTAAGTGAATGTCTGTCTGTTTTGTTCTTTGTTCGATTACCTCATGTAGTTACAGAGAGTTTGGTGTCAGAGTTATGCAGCTATTTTTTTTATTGGAGGTAAAGGTTATTCAGTTTTATAATATTGATATAACTATCACTTATTTATAATCTATGGCGGCTGCGCTAAACAACCACGACATTTTGAATATTTATTAACGGCTATTTATAGGATCAAAGAAGCTTCATCAGCAACAAAAATATGATACGAAAATTCAAAATATATATTGTTTTGAAAAATAAATTGAAAAATACCCTCAGGTAAACAATTTTAAATTTTTTTTTTATTTAATTTTTTTTTGGTAAACAAGTAAAAATAATTTGAAGACGATTTGATTTGATAAGTTCAAAAAGACTACGCATATACTATTCGTCTTCTACGACTGCCGTTCCTTTTTTTGGTTGGTGGTTATGTCGGACTCGAACCGACCAAAAACCGCACGCCGTCTCGAGGACCAGTTGCCGGGGAACCAGGTGAAAATTTTACAATATCTTTTAATGCGACTCTTTACATGTTTGTTTATGTATAATAAAAACAGATATACTAAAAATATAACATACCTTTTAATGACAAATTATGTAGGATCAATTGACCGACGTCAATAAAATGATAATCATTTTAATGACGCATCCATTTGGACAAACAGGGGCATTCTGGAGAAGTAACAAGATAAAACGATTCCTGAGAAAATTTGTCATACGCATATTAATTCAATATAAATGATATTATTAATAGCAATTATAATTGGTTTGAAAACAATTATTGTAAATACCTTTAACAATTATTAGAACTCATTAATAGCTATATCTGACCTATTTAATTTATATACTATTCAGAACTAAAAGGTTCAAAGTAACATCTGCTCTTGAAATGAAAATCGTTGGAATGTAAAGTTGTTGTGATTGTACGTAATGACATTTTCCTTTCCAATATTACTGTTACTGTGTATGTATGAATGTACATACGCATGACGTATGAATTTTATAATCTGTTGTCTGAAAAACTGAAAAGGTACGAGTACTTACAACTGCTCCTTTTGAACCGTATTCAGCGGAGAGCGACTCGAATGTCACCGCGTCGATTGCCAGAACACAAATTGCCGATCGCCTTGAACACTTAGAGTTGCGTAGAGATATAGCTTCATTCTGCATTTTCTATTGCCTGTATTACGGGGAGTGCAGCTTCGAGGCATTGTTCGGTATTATACCAGCCGCCATAATGAACTGATGGTCACTAGAACCGAAATGCGCTAGAGTGGAGTCCGCGATGGACCGATAACTTAAAGAAAGTGGCTAACAACGAATGGATCGCCCAAGGCCGGGATAGTTGGCGCTCCTTAGGGGAGGCTTTCGTTCAGCAGTGGACGACGATAGGCTGATGATGTTAACGCCACCATTGTTCACTTATAATTGGCCCTATATCGAGCGTCAATTTGTTCAACACATCTGTGGAAGAAATTGACCAACCTCCAAATCATCAAGAGAAGAGTGTACTCCCACGTCATAGTGGCAGGTGTCGATGGGCGACGGTACTCACTTTCCCTAAGGTAAACCATCTGCTGGTTAGCTCTCTATACTGTTGGTCTAGTGGTTAGTGACCCTGACTGCTATGCCAGAGGTCGTCGGTTCGATTCCCAGGACAAATAACTGTGTGATGAGCAAGTTCATTTGTCTGTCTAGATTTCAAAGATTTGTCATAAAAATATGTTTTTGTGCCCTTAAATTGCAAACGCTAGCCAATTAATTGTTATGAAATAGAGCAAATAATGTACCTACTACGGAATTGTATATCTTAAAAAGATCTACAAAGAAGTCCGCAATGGTATATGTTTATTTCCTAAGGATAATGTTACAAAAAAGTAATGGGTTATTTACGAAGCTATTTTAAACAATAAATTGTTATTCCTTAGCCTATGAATTACGTTAGATATACGTTATTAATTTAATGCAGACCATAATTGCTATTTACAGCATATCATTAAATTAATTAGAATCATTAGAAGATATATCATTAGAAGAAGGCGGGGGCAAAGCGGCTGTCGCCGCGTCAGGCCGTACGTCCATCCCCAGGGCCAGCGGCCGACATGATCGGAGTGGGCCTATAAATATTGCATAGAAAGCTGTCCTATAATATAGACCCATCATAATACTAGTATAATTAATTACTCCACACTGACACCACATTAGTAGTATCTACATTGCACCCGTGCGAAGCCGGGGCGGATCGCTAGTCATATATAACTTATCTTTTGTCATTCGAAGAACGGTACCCTAAGCATTCGTATCAACATACAAAATCCAGTTTAATTTGCTTTATTAAGCGGTGACACTTGTTTGTGCCGAGAATTAATTCCAATGTAATTCTTAACGAGGGCTGGCAGCCGTTCATGTTTCATAAACATCACTTAACACTGTCAAAACGACATGTGTTAAAT